AATTCACACAGAATTGAAGTTCTTTATCTGATTTCTTTGCAAAGAGAATAGAAGCTGCAGCAGAAGAGTTACTAATATGTATGAATTTCTTATTCAATAGATCATTAAGTGTCTTTCAAATAAGAAGAAGTTCATCTTAAGACATATTATAAAGAGAGTCTCATAATAACTCAGAATTCTTATTATTCTTTTTTTCTAACTTGATACTGTGATTTACTTCTAAGTCTTGTAAGAGAGGTATATTTATAATATTATCTCATCAGAAGATATCTAGATATTTGTGATATTATTAAGAGAGTTTTATATGAGAATATGTTATTATAGTATAAGATAACTTCTGTAGAGCTTTCTTAATATTGATCAGACTGATGAAATAGATTATTATATAGTTCTACTATTAATAATCTTTTCAGTGACTTCTTTTTCAGAGTATTTCATAAGTGTTGACAGAGATCTGTGTCAGATTCATAGTCTTATGAATATCATCTTTGTGAACTCTATTATTGTTAGAGAATATTAAGTTTCTATTTTAAGTGTTTAATAAAATGTCTTATTCAGATAGTCAGACAAGTTCTAATATGAGATTATAATCAAGATCATTAACTTCATATATATAGACATCTTTATGTTGATATTCTTCAATATCTATGTTTAGCTTTATCATGTAACAGATGTAAATGTTCTTTGAGTCATCAAATTCTGTGAGAAGTTGAGGTTTTAATAAGAGAATACACTGAAGATTATAATATCTTATAACTGAAGATTTAATCATTGTATAATAACATAGACCACTGTCTATCATAGCTTTCATATTATATATGTTATTAATCACAGTAGATAGAAGAATCACATTTATTGTTATTTTTTCTTGGAATTATTGTTATCTGATCTCTTCAAGCTTCTGTTTATAAATTTGAACAGAAGCTACTCTTTTCTCTGTTTCATTGAGATATCTTCATAGTTATCCTCTGAATCTTTCTTCAATGTTATGTGATTGATATATACTGTCAGTATTAATCTTTCTTTTGAATGAGAAGACTAGACTGACTGTGTAACCGTGTCTGAGACCAGGATCAGATTTTTTGATAGTTTCATTATCAATTTGACTGATCTTATTACACAGTTTTAACATTAGATAGTAGTCTCATACTGTCTCAGTGAGACTTACTGTCTACTCTTATCACATTTTTCAAATGAGATCATGATTTCCACTTCTCAATTTAAATTATTTTTATTGCTTTAAATGACTTTAAATCTCATTTGAGTATTATCAAAAAGTGTTACTTTTTAAAAAATTAAAAATAGTCTAAAAAAAACCTTAAAATGTCTAAAAATAGTAACTTTATGTCAAAAATGAAACTAAATGAGATCAAATGAGATCACTTTCTCATTTTTTTCAAGTCATGGTTTCATTTTAAGATCTGATATATAGTCACTTTGTATGTTTTTTTGATGGCTAGTCTCAGCGGGATTCACATCAAGAAATGTATGAGATCAGACCAAATGAAATCAAATGTGAAATTCATGATCCCGGCGGCCAGTCTAGAGAAGACACATAGACTGATTGACAGTTGAAAGTGATATGTTTTAGTGTCATTCAAAGGTTCCTTTTTGCCAGTGTACGATTACAGGCGTACGCCGGCTTCTTATATATTGTACGCTAAATTAATTAGTGGCCGCTATGGCCTCTTTACACTTGTAAGCAAGTTCAGAAGCGGCTGTGTTATTATCTGATGATTGTATGTTCTTCTGAACCACTGTACATTCTTCTGAATTACATTCTTTCTCATCAGATTCAGTCATGCTCATGTGATCAGAACATTCATCCTAGCTTCATGCAGATTAGCACATCACTAGTGTTCACAATCTTGTGACCTATCTCTGATTCAGCTAGTGTCTCATGTACACTCTCACAAAGAAACTTTCACTATATTATATCACTCATTTACTAACTTTTCTCATTCTTCAATTATCTTCTTCATCATCATCATCATCAAATGCCACTCTTATTTCATTTCAGATTACTGTCTCTTCTTCTGTTCAACACCTTCTATCTGTTTATCTATCACATTGTACATGTTTCTAGCAATGACTTCTTGTTCTCATAATAAGCATTCTTGTAGTGCTTTTACTGAGCAGTTTATTAGCAGTAAGTGTAATGTGTTGTAAAACATGATCAGAACTTGTTTATCTTCTAACAATTGTTAGAATATACTATCATGAATAATACATCTTCTTCATCTTCTTATATACTCTTGACTGTTTTCTTCTCAGTGAGTTTCTGATTATGTTTTCTGACATGATTTTATATAAACACAGATGCTGATATATTTGTCTTTATTCATATACAATTTTCATATATTGACAGATTCATGTTCACTGATAATAGTGAACTTAATGTTGAATCATTGATTGAGAACTTGAAGAATGTGATAATGAAGAAATTATCTGTATCATGTATGACTGAGTCTTCTATGTCTTTCTCTGCTTCTTCTATCACTTCTTTCTCTACTGCTCTCTCTCAATCTTCTACACTTATCTCTGTATCTGATTCTCCTGCTTCTGCTACTTCTGTTTCTGTGATCTTCACTTCTACTACTTCTGGTTTTGTTATCTCTGCTTTTGTTATCAGCTCTCCCTGTTTTAAGAAGATGTTGTATAGACTTAATGAATCATGTTTCTCAGTGTGTATACTTCTGCTCTTCTTACTAACTCTCAGAATAATTTATTATATAAAGACTGTATATAATATAACTATCTAAAGCTTGATCACAGACACTGATTATTACATTCATTTTAAATATTTATAATGAGATAATTATTTATTTATATCAGAGAATCATCTCTCTTCTCAACAGTGTTGAGATTGTAAGTCTTTTTCTTTTTCATCTTTTCTTTCTAACACTGATTTTTCTGTTCTTAGAGGAAATTGTTATGAGTTTTACTATATATAAAGTCATGATATTCACAGATATTAAGAAGCTTTTTACAACTGTAAAGTTCAATATTGTAAGAATATCTGCTCTAATGAATTTCTTTAAGATAATAGATCTGTATCAGTCTATTCTCTAACATCTGTCATCTGACTTTGTAATGCAGGCAAAAGATATCTGTGTTTTCAGAAATGAGAATATGAATGTCATACTCTTTTACATCTGTAAGTGTGAGACTCATACATCTTATCTGAGATATCATTGTGAGAATGAGCTGTTTATATACTGTATTCTGCTTTCTACATTTCTCTGTGTCTCTCTCTCTCTTTCTGAGAGCTTGTGTTGTGTTGTAATTATGTGTAACACTTCTAAAATCAGCAGGTGTTTGTTCAGTAACTGTTCTCATCTCTGATTTTACAATTTTTATATACTAATAATAGTTCTTAGTTACTCTGATGTCAGAGACTATTCTAATTAAAGATAATAATATCACTGAGACTACTCTCTTTCATTCTCAAGCTTCTCTCATCACTTTCTCTTCCTTCTCTGCAGAGAAGGTTGTGTGCATATTGAGTTATAAGTATTCAGTCTCAGATGACTTCTGCTGTTATTTATCTGATTCTGCATCTTCTTCTTCTTCTATTTCTTCTATCTCTATTTTCTCTGCTCTGATTTCTAGTCCTGCAGATTCTGTGCTCTTCTTCAATTTCTCTATATATATATATATATATGCATTTCTATATTAGCATTTCAGTCAATCTTGTGATAAATGACATTAATGTTGTATGCAGAGTGATAGAGAAATCAGAGATATATATAGTATTATTGCAAGAGCAGCTTACAGTTCTTAAATCTCTTACAGATCTTGAGTTTTAAGATTTTCTTTATTTTTGACATTTTTCAGATGATGTGATATTGAAAATAGATTAAATGTATGATATATAAAAATGAATAAGATATATATGATAATATTTGTCTTTTACAGCTGACTCTTACAGTTGATGATCAATTCATTATCTCTTTTCTTTTCTTATGCTTTTTCTTTATCTTCTAGTCACTACTCTCATATAATCTCTATATAATACAGTGTTCAGTGACTAGATTCAGCAGCTTTCATCTTTTATAATTCTGTCTTACATATTATACTGTCTCTCTTCACCTGCTCAGATCACTACAGCAAATGACTTATTAAAACTAATCTCACTCAATCTCTAAGTGTTCTCAGAGGTTGAGATGACTTGATCTCATATGTCTGTGAATATTTCAGATAGTTCAT